CGGGTATGTCTGGGTCGGTGGATCTAAGGTTTTGGGCACTTCCGCCGCAAACAAGCGTCGACTTGCTCGCAGCATCTTCTGGCGCGACACGCTGCGCAACAAGCCCATGGCGTCCGTCGCGGGCGATATGGCTGGGTCTGGCTAGGTAGCAGGAACGAACCAGCCTGAGTGAAACGGCGGGAGGCGAGCCTCACATGCAATGGCATACTGATACTGCATGCGCAAGCTGCTCAAATGCTCCATCGAATGCACACAAGGTGCTAGATCACATCGGTCACGCAAGATGCGAGGTACGTACTTAGACCTCCATGGATGTACCATGCACATGATGCACAACATCTGACAACTGCATTGCTTGCACACGCTCCTCGCCATTTCCGAGCATCCGAACAACCAGTCAGCAAGTTGTCGAGGGAGAGCAATCACTCCAGCAGTCGACAGTCTCTTTTCGCAATCTAAATTTGGGATCAAGGGGTCTAGGGCTCGAGATTGTAGATGCAGTTATTGCTGGCTTGGCATACTTCTTGGTAATTTTCGTTCCAGGCGAGGTGTTTTTCGGAAGAATCCGTGTGAGACAAGCTTTGAAGCAGCTGGGCCGCACCCCCGCCCCCCCCGATCACGCTTCGTCAGCCGGCACACGCCACTTGGCGAGGAAGTTGTCCTTGTCGTTGTCCTGCACACTGTGCACGGCTTGTCCTATCAGAGACCTGCAGCTTCTAGAACTTCCTCACTATATGATGCCTTCGCTGGTGCTGTACTGTAGCGCCATGCTGATATTCAAAGAGATGCACAGTCACAGTGCTTTCCAGAACAGAACGTTCTACCCTTCGGCCTAGGAGACCTTTTATGTTGGGATAAATGAAAATTGTAGTCGTCCAAACGGCTCGTTGTCCTTGATGCGACACCAGACACAATGGAAGAAGAAGGCCAAGGTGGGGTACATCATGATGTAGCGGTAGAAGTCCTCGTGCGACTTGTCGAGCATCCCGCCGTAGTAGCTTGTGTCGATGTAGTAGCGCCAGCGATTCTTGGTCGGATCGATGTGGATCTCTGGCATACCCATCAGGCACATCTTCTGGTAATCCCAGTTGCGCTCAAGCCATCGGATCCAGTGGCGGCCTGGAACTCGGCGCAGCCACACGATGGTTGAGCGCAGCCAGAGGTAAACCGGTCCACCCTTGTATGGGGACATCACTGTTTCCTCCACACGCCCGTAGGCCAACGGGTATGTCTGGGTCGGTGGATCTAGGGTTTTGGGCACTTCCGCCGCGAACAAGCGTCGACTTGCTCGCAGCATCTTCTGGCGCGACACGCTGCGCAACAAGCCCATGGCGGCTGTCGCGGGCGATATGGCTGGGTCTGGCTGGCTAGGTAGCAGGAACGAACCAGCCTGAGTGAAACGGCGGGAGGCGAGCATCGAATTGGCATGCCGATGTCAAGGAAAAGCATGCTGAAACTGCCGCAAAATATAGTTCAAGGGGTCAGTATTAATCAGTAGTCAGACCTGTATATAGTAGACGGGCTGCAAGCTGTTTTTTTCAGCGAAGGTGGCTGCTGGCAGCTACTGCACCAAGGGACAGCCGTCGCGTGGACCTCACTCATAAAGTGGTGCTCTGATGCCGTAGCCGTAGCTCAGGCGGCTTTCAGCACGTCCTTCCACAGATAATTATTCGTTGTGTCATCCAAGTTTCGGTGACAAGTGCACCTCCCGTCTTGCTGGTCACTGATGTATGGCGCAGGGCACGAAGGCCTTGGCCCATGCAAGCATAGTCACACTGCTTGCAACTTACAACAGGAGCAAGTTGCCAAAACACAAAATAATACTGAAGAACAGTGGACACCAGCACAAGCCACGTCACAAGGTCTCCGGAATCGGAACTCCGGTATATGCCTTCTGGAAGAGGAACTGGTCCTCCATCTCGCAGAATGGCTTGGTGAAGGTAGCAATTCGGTCTTCCGTTGCCGTCGCCCGCCACTGCTCCCCCTCAAGACTCCACAACAGCCTCCGCTTTCTGCATTCAACATTTTCTTGAAAATGCATGGCGAGCGAGAGAGCGAGCGAGAGAGAGAGAGAGAGAGAGAGAGAGAGAGAGAGAGAGAGGGAGGGAGAGAGAACGAAATATCTGCCTGTTGATTTGTTCTGTGTAGGTACCATTTAATTTTAGTATTCTGATGATTTCTATTTAGAGTTTCAGGTTCATATTCTATACTGATATACCCACAGACTGGTATCTTAAAGTTAAACTTATATTCCGTTCATTCAGAGCCCAGGGGCAGGGTGCCAGTTTCCGGATCCCGGGCTATGACCTGACGAAGGACTGGGAAGAGCTGCGCGACCACCTTCTCCTGCGGAGCGGCTGGGGTCAGGGAGTCAGGGGGTAGGCTGTAAGGGCTTAACCCTAAGGTTCAAAATACAGTATGGTCTTTGGACCCCAAAGCCTTAAAATTTGGACTCCAAAGCCTTCAAATATGAGTCCCTAGAGCCTTAGGGTAAGGACTCTAAATATAAACCATAATTTGGAACTACTTAGGGGCCTACGGGTAAGGGCTTAAGGGTTCAGGGTTTTGGAAGGGAGGGCCGTCGGCGCTTGGGCTTTGGGTTGACTGCGGTCGGCCCTCACAACTCGGACAATCCAGGCGAGGCTTGTGTTCATAGATCGGCTCCGTGATACAAAGACCAAAGATTGACTAAAACAGAGAGCAGCAGCATACCAACCTGCTCAAAGAATTGCAGTAGCAGGGTTGTTTGAGTTATGGGATTTTTTGCCTCCCACTTTGGGGATTTAGGGTTTAGGGTTGCTCCTGCGGCGCGGCGTGTGACTGTTGAACTGAGCTCTTCCGAATGTTGGGAACTTTCCCGATATGTCCCGGAACTTGCATTGCGTTTGTCGGAATGCAAGCCCTCTTCTGGTTCATGATAGCTTCTCTTCGACAGCAGCATTTCGGTGAACCTAGCCATCGAAGATCACAGGCCTCGAGGAGCTTGTCAGACTTGAGATACTGGCACACTGGTGGGCTTGTCCCGAAGAAGTTTTGCACAAATTGTCTCACTCTGCTGGGGTCCATGACCTTGCGGTCGGCATTGCCCGCAGTGATGTCAGCGATGCGAAAGTGTGGCAATGACTTCCTTGTGTAGTCTTCCCAGGTGCGCTCATTCTCCGGAAGGTCTTTGGCCCCATTGAACACCTGAAGCTCCAGCCCCGAAAAGACAGCAGGTTATGAGTTCATTCCCGTAGTTACACGGTGTAGTACCGGTACAACCCCTGGAAAATACTAGTCAACTTCAGTCACAGGTACCGAAACCTGGCGGACACGGACGCCAGTTTCCCCCCTGGACTTGGGGGTGAGAACACAACAGAAATCAGGATCCAAAGGACGGACTTCCTCCATGCAGAAATCCAAGTTCGGCTGCGTCTTGTATGCACTCATCATACTGAAAAGGCCACCATCAGCTTTGCTCAACTTGCAACAAAACTGCTTGCCGTCGTCTCCTTGGCGGTAGTATCGTGGCTCATCTGCTTTGCCGTCCTTGAACTCCTGACATTCATTCCAGTAGTCGTCATCATCCTTCAGTGTCTTGCATTGGCACACGACTGACGGGGTTGACAACGCCCCCGTCGCATTGATGTTGGCTCGGGCTGCCTGAAGAACCTGCAATGTGCCGCAAAGCACGAAGACACGTATGCAGAACGGCACTTTTGCCATGGCAAACAACTGAGTCTGGTTTGAGAAGTTCTAGAGATTCTAGTGGCTGCAGCACGGGCAGTGCGGCTGCTGTGCACCCGACCCATCACACCATGCGACTTGCACATGACGTAAATTCATACAAACGTCCCGGCACCATCTGTTGCAAGCGAAATATCACCGGCACGCAGCGACTACAACCGAATCTTCGTAAATTGTGCGCTCCATTCCAAAGTGAGCGTCTTGGCGTTTCAGTCTGCGTGTGGGTGTAAATTTGGGTCGGTGTATGGGTGTGGGTCATGTGTGGGTCGGGGGAGGGCGGCGCCGCCTCGAATAAACGATGGGTGCGAACCCAAGCAACGAGTGTCCTGCATGCTCCTTCGCCTCCCCGCTACGTGCGGACGATGTCGAAGCGCAAGTCATGGTGATCAGATGCTTGTCTCACGGCTACACAGGCACCTCGCTGCCACATGTTCCACAATGTACAACGAGTTCGTCGCGTGTTGGTCATTCCCGCTTCGTGCTGACGTGACCGTGGCCGAGCAGTCTTGAAAGGCCAGCACTGAGCAAACGACCACAAAACCAGCAACATGCTTCGTGCATCTGCAGGTCTGTACATGATAGCAGCAAATTCTGTGGATCGAAGCCAAGGACGAGAGCAAGCCGCCGGTAGACGAAAGTCAAACGATATCATGGGACGAAGCTGGATTACAGTACTGACTATATCACGAGAACCTCTATAAGTAGCAAACAGTAATAGCTGCTGATACCCAACCTACATCCCTGCTGGCGATTGCAACTTCAGGCACTTGGCCACGGAAACCCAAATCTTCAAAAGAATGTATGACGGCCGTCGCAGAATGTGCAAACAGCACGGGCTCTGTGCAGCGCAACTGGCCATCAAGGATTCCTGGCAACTGCACAGCTTCATACAGCTTCACTCGCCGGCATAGGTTGTATCTATCCCGCAGCATCTGCTTCATAGATCATTACGCCCGATACCAACCCGAGCTATTCTGCCTAGACCCTCCAATGAGCATTCATTCAGGCATCCTATGTGCCTCAACCAGCAGTTCTCTGAACTATCCGTCCGAGGCGATGGTCTTTAGGCCCCGTCTGCAACTAGCTTAGGCACACATGAGATCGATCCTTGTATGTATGTGTGTATATATATA